TWWAATCTCTGTTATWTTTTAGATTGACCAGGAACAGTTCAATAAGATTTTGGATCTTATTGAGAGTGGCAAAAAAGAAGGTGCCACACTGAATTGCGGCGGACAACGTCATGGAGAAAAAGGCCTTTTCATYCAACCAACAGTCTTTTCTGACGTCAAAGATGATATGAGAATTGCTAAAGAAGAGGTGAATATTTCCAGTTATTTGCCTGGAGTCATTTTGATTCATAGCTCAATTTTCTATTGCTTAATCTTTCACAGATATGTTACAATGCCACTGTATTTTCACCATATTGAAGTTCAAACCGCTTTGATAACTGAACAGCCTTTCTCGGCGAGCTCCACCAGTTTAGTTATCTGCTGCCTTTAAACTCATTTTTTCAGTATTTTTTTTTTTGTCAAAGTCTAAAAATTTTAAATTGTATAGGATAAGCTAGTTCAGGTAAGACAGAGTCCTTAAGGACTTATAATCGGCGGAGATGCCCGTATAGGATGCTACTGGCATGGCACTCGTCTAAAGAAACCTCATTTGTTAATAAGTTCCAAGTATGGATGCAGTTGTACGTGGAAAAAAACAGGGTGGCTAAGGCGTGCATGTTCAAAGCAATCTGGACATATTTACGGTCCCGATTAAGAATAAATTCAATCTGAAGTAATGTAGGAGCCACAATTGCCAAGAGGAACGTTTCCCCTACATCTTGTACTTTCGCATGCCTTAGTGCCAACTTTTTTAATTATTAAGTTGGTTTTGTTTATTTTACCTTTTTAGATCTTTGGCCCCGTGCAGCAGATCTTTAAATTCAAAGATATGGATGAAGCGATTGAAAGGGCTAACAATACAACTTATGGTTTGGCTGCAGTAGTCTTCACCAAAGACATTGACAAAGCTTTAGCGATAAGCAGCAGTCTGAAGGCAGGCACAGTGTGGTAAGTACAAAATGATTGTTCTCTAAGACAGCGAAAATCTTTTCAATTAATTGCAATTATTTAATATTTATTTTACCAGGGTGAACTGTTATGGAGCTGGGGCTCCTCAAGCTCCTTTTGGTGGATTCAAAATGTCTGGCTTTGGGCGAGAATAGTAAGTTGTTTTTAGGTTTTCCATCAACTCACCAAAATACAATTTTGAATGGATAAAAAAGACAGGGCATAATAGACTTTGCGCTACCAAAGGAATCGAAACCAAGGAAAAGGAGATAAACTTTGATACCGTTTTTCTCTTAACTGGTAGCCTGCCATGTTTATAGCCGGAATGAGTATCAAAATTTGGGAGATTATTTGCCACACAGCTCGAGTCTATACATTTGTTATTCATGAATATCATTTGAATTCTATGGTTGTCTTGAATAATGTATCCATTAACCCATATCCGTTCTCATTGTTTAGTGGTGAAGATGCCCTTTTACCATACTGTGAAGTTAAAACGGTAAGGCATTTAGTGCTCTAAGCTTCCACAGAAGCGTTCGTCTTTGCTAAGTTTTTTTCTTGGAGTCTGACAAAAATTAAAAAATAAAATAAAACTGCTTCTTCAAAGTTTTATCCAATCACGAGAATATATAAAATATTTTAAAGTTGACTTTTATTTGCAAATTAACACTATATGATTATAAATGGATGTTTATGTTCATATCGTGAAATGTGCAAAACTGTGACATATCGAACCTTGCAGACCATGCAAAATGATGAAAATGATGCAAAATTGCGATTGAAAATGAAAAAAAAATTGCCGTGCGCATTTTTAACCTTATTTTGCGATTGGAATGCTATTTTGCATCAACAACAACAACAAAAGCTAACCTTTTCACCTTATTTAATATATTATTCATAATGGTCAGGTAAATATAAATGCGCATATTAAGCTGACAAAAACAAGGAAAACCGAATTAAAAATATGCTGCTTGTTTCGACATGTCAGTTAGCCATTGCTCATTTCATACTGTAAGAGTTTTTTATCCATATKTTTGTAGCAAGTCTAACAAAATCCAGTCTAGTTTAGCAACAAGTTCTCGGTATTCATGCGTTTATTGTTTTTTTTTAGGTGACCATCAGTATCCCAAGCAAAAATTCCTAGAGTTTTGGTCAAAAATCTCTACGTCAGTAATAGGTCTAGATAAGCTCAATATGGCACAGTCATAAATATTGATATTGATTGAAATGATTATTCAAACTGTAAGCTCTTTAGTAGAATATACACTGGAAACACGACTTTTTAGAATAACTAACCGAGGACGAATTTAACCATACAATTTTTAAAATAACATTTCCCACAAAATAATAATAAAAATATCATAGCTGATCTCTTGGATGATTCAATGTTTCATATACACCTAATTCAAGAAACGTTGTCGGGTCCAAAAAGGTCCAATCATAGAAGCTAAGACCCAAAGGGTACTTGGGAAGACAAACAATTTGGCTAATTCCATACAAACAGCTCTCCAGCATAAAAGACCATCATGCTGTTAATCTTACTAGCTCTACTTGCTTAGGTGTACACCGTATATGCAAATGTAATCCCAATTTAGTGGTACTCAAAATCCCTTTCGGTCTTAGCTTCTATGCCCATGTGACCTTATCGAACACGACTACGTTTTTTCAATTAGGTGTAACTATTAGTGTCACCCATTTCGTGTTATTTCTTTTACTAGGCAATCCTGCTAACTGATTTTTCAATATTGTGCTAAGCTACAAATCTACATAGGCCATTATAATACCTTATTAACTTCAATTCCTCAATTGCTCTGTAATATTTAGTTTCCTCTATACCTAAACTTCTTTTGCAATTCCAATGTCTTTTTTGAGTGTGAAATAAACTTACTATATTGCTGTTGCAAAAACAGAAGTAGCTCTGTCGTATCTACCAAAAAATATATATAAACTGCTATTTTAATCACAGCTGATCTAGTCTTGCAGCACATACTCAAGGAGGCTCAATGTTCTTAATGTTCTTACCAGATGCGGATGTTCCTTATCGAGCGTCTTTTCTTGAATCGACGCAGCTTTTTTCAAATAGACTTTGGCCTGATCAAGTTCACCAAGATCTTTTAAAACAGATGCATAAGTGTACAGCGTAACGGCCAAACGTGGGTGATTACTTTCCMGAACAATTCTTTGAATGCCCATAGCCTTCTCKAGAATGTTCTTTGCACGATCAAATTCTCCTTGATCTTGTAAAACTGATGCARAWACYGTCAAAGTATCCGCTACACAAGGGTGAYTATGACCCAGCGATTTCTCTTGGATATTCAAAGCTCTTTCCAAATAGTTYCTCGCCTGCCTGTACTCCCCAAGGCCTTGTAGCACYKTTGCAAAGACAAATAGRGTAGTCGCAATGCTTGGATGCTCTTTGTCTAACYTGRATTCCTGGATATGTAGAGCYCTATCCAAATGGATTTTAGCCTCRTGGTATGTTTYTAGATCTCGTAATACCGATCCAAKRGCRCAAAGAGTKGACGCCAAAKTTGGGTGRTCTTGYCCCARTGAACTCTCTTCAATGRTCATGGYTCTTTCCAAAAGAYRTTTAGCGGGTACATAYTGTCCAAGATCTTGAARGATTGATGCAAGATTCCGCAACATTCTGGCCAGCCRAGGGTTATTATTACCGTACAGACCTTCTTGAATAGCTATAGCTCTCACCAAAGCAGTCCTAGCCTCTTCATATTTACCGAGTCCTTGTAAGGCCAACGCYCGAACCCTTARGTTAKCTKYCAAGCCAGAACAATCTCGGTCGGCCGTGTTCTCCAAAGATTTATCCAAATAAGCCAAGGCTTGTGTGTGCTCGCCAAGATTTTGTAATGTTAATCCAAAGTTACTCAATAAAGTTGGATCAAGTGCAAACTTCTTCCCCGATAATTCGGGTAATCCAAAATATCTTAGTATAGGAGACAGAACGAAGAGCAATCTCTCCCTTTCTCTGCTTACTTCAAATGCTTTCTGAAAACATTGTTTTGATTGACTGAAATAACCAAGGTCTAACAGGATAAGGGCGTGGATATTYAACAAATTAGGCATTATAAATGGACACAAGATATTATATTCGCTATTATTACTYGAGGCTTGTTCAATGATAGACAGAGCCGTTTCGGAAATTCTCTTTGCACGCTGATATTGCCCGGATTCCTTTATGGATAATGCTAAATGCGACATTGTTAATGGCGCCACCAAAGGCGTACAATTCGARGTATTGTCCACGTAAACTGCAGAGAGGGCCTTGGTTAACAGCTCCTCGGCATGTTGGTGTCGACCTTGATTACGCAAAAGCACACCTAGATTCACCGATATCAAAGTCAAAATTAATGCAATGCTATCATTGTAGCTCAGAACTATGATTAGACGCTGAAACTTCTGCATGTCTTCGCTGTCAGTACACCCATTCAACGTTGAATTGACATTAATCAGGCAATGCAGCATTTCCTGATATTGCTGCKCTAAACCGTCCGTGTTCAGATGCTGCATAAAGTACCAAACTCTTTCTGAAAAAGTATAAATGTGGTRATTTCTGAAATAATCCAAGATGTGATTAAGAATCAATGATAAATGCAAACTCAAAGCCATCGATTGTGTTGCTCCAATGCCGCCTTTCTTCGGCCTTCTACAGTCATTTATGTGGGATGCAAACACTTGCAACACTTTCAACCAAAATGCCAAATCTCTTACTTCATCTTGATTCATTTCCTTAACAACAAAATGCACAACCTGGTGAACACGAATCATCAATTCGGAATCCTCCTCGAAACAAATAATTAGTGATGACAATCTTATTTCTGATGCAATGTAATCTTTTCCTTTGTTAGGTAAGTTCAGATTGACGTAWTTCACGACGTGCTCTAGTGGAATGTGCTCTGYAGCTACTACKGACAARAGCTGGAAAGCGTACTTCAAAACCTCGTTCTTAGCAATTCCCTTTTCTAATGCCATCTTGACTGCTGTTGTCATAGTTTTAGGGTAAGCAGAAGCCGTTCTCTCATATACTCTCTCTGTTGCCGCTTGGTTGCCGGCTTGAAGTTCTTGAARTAAGACTGTCCAGGTKATTGCTTTGTTAGTGATGGCTGTATCTTGCATCCACATGGCTGCACATGCCAAAGCCAAAGGCTGRAAATCRAGRRCTTTAGCCACTTCAAGACCTATRTGATCRTTCTCAAAACTGCACCCTGATATGGTTAACAAGGATGYCAMAGCTTCSTCCGGTTCCATGCCAGCACTTAGTGAAAAATGTAGTGAATATGGAGYAGAAGGCGGAATYGAATGGCTTTCTTGTGTAGTGATSAGGACGTGYCCCTTKCCTATCTGACCAGCTTGTGGGATAAACTTGGACATCTGYTTCAAGTCATCCGCGTTGTCAACAATTATCASCCACGTGCAWGGAAAYGTTGYMACTGCAGAGTTGATSAGTTCTTTTTGAAGAAGAAGAAKTTTCTCTTCGTCAGGTTTCTGGGARGTAGTTATCTGTGATACTGCAKTGTCATTGCATTTTAGGAAACTCGCAAATTCAATGYATGARCACAATAGATTGCTTATACTTGAGGCATCCAGTGTCATAACAAACGGYGTAKCTACGTCAGTGCYCAKATCATCGAAGWATTTCTCACCWATCTGTCTGGCAATTTGAGTTTTCCCACWGCCYGGATTGCCRCWGATATAAGTGACAGTCACTTTTTCCTTGTTATTGTTCCTCAGTCTCTTTATCTCGTTGTAAATTTCCGTGGTTTTCGTTTCRCGAGAGATGGTCTYATGGGAAGGGAAAGGAGGAAGCCTACAGAAGGGTCGTGGGCCTTTGTTCATATTCCTTTCGTTTTCCAATTGGCTTTGGATGTATTGAAGGCGTTTCGTTGGAAATTCCGTTTGATTTTTGATCTTTTCKATTGCTGTTCCATCTAGCTTGAGATCTTTGATGGCAGAAATCACATCTGTGATTGATGACTGGAAATCAGCTTCTTTTATCATTCCATCTTTGGGATGAGCAAAATATTTGTTTCGAAATTCTCTCAAAGTTTCAACACTGTTCTTAACAACTGGATCCAGCCTCTTTTTTCCGATGCAATCTGAGTATAATATCGAATAGGAAAGGCAAGTACAATCCCATTCGCTAGAGTCTCCGTTTTTTATCACATCAAGCTCTTTCTTCTTAAGTCTTTGCTCTTTTGGTGTTGCCATTGAGAGAAAATCGTGTCCATTCTTGGTGGTATCTTTCCATACGCCGTGCGATGTACCATACCGTACGTCCCATTCTCTTTTAAACACGACACGTAGATATTCAGGGATGATAGTTGCAGTCACGTGACACACTCTGAAGTAGTTTAATTGCTCTAGGGAATACGTCATATCTATACGAAATAGTGACAAAACAAAGTTAAACTTGTATTGTCGCTACCATGTGATGTTTCTAGGACATTTCTCGTACTCAATCCTTCTCAGTTCCCAACGGAAGATCGAAGGTTATGGTTAGAAACAAATGATCATTTGTTTGGTGGCAATGCATTTTGATTAAAAATCGATTATTTTTGACGATTGTGTTGTGCTATAACGCATGCATTTGGGAAACTTAGCTAAGAAGGATCTGGATAGGAGAATGTTTTTAGGAGCAGTAATATTATAGCACATGTGACCAGATACTTCTGTTAGACGGTAAATTCACTTTATATGGAGTTGAGCTTTCAGAAGAAAATAAAAAAAAATCAGAAAAAAAAACCACTAATGTTAATAGCTATAAAGTAAAAAAGCCTATTTTGCTGATATGATGGAGTTAATTATAGAAAAATGTTAAAACAATAGATCGCTCACGCAGCTCTTTGTATTCATCTCGGTAATTGAATGATGGTTTGCGCGCTTTAATGTACAGGGCTCCTAGCAGTCGTAATTTAACGGGGTCTTGCTCTCTGATGACGATGTTTACGTAGATGAATTTATTTTTGCAAATATTCAGGTGTTCTCTTGTGCGTGTAGGTAACGAATGGTACTGCCAATGTATTTTGAGTGACGTTTTGGGCACGTGATCTCATAGAAATGGAAAAAAGATTGCTAGGACCAAAAAGACGTAACCAAAAATGTCATAGTTCATCAGATTATAGATGATAGCAACCGATCTGCAGCAGAAAATTCGATGGAACCTAGTGCCGCAAAATTTGGTAACGACGACAAGCTAATTTTGCGTTTGAAACAACCTTTGGTGCCGGGGACGAGTAGACTCCCATATGAAAGAGTGAGGATGATCGTCGTATCTTTTAGGGGTGAAATTATTGTGTTCCCATGCCCTATTTCGTAACAGACTGGAATCTTTTAGGGGTATTTTTTAAAATTTCTGAGAACCACACCCACCCTATATACGAGGAACCCCCCCTCCCCCCTCCCTCGGACCCTTGGTATAAACAATACTATTTACAAAAATGATTTCAGTCACGTCTTTCTGTAGTTTATCCGGTAGCGGAAGACTAAGTCTGACTGCAAGTATAGTTCTGCCATAGTATAGCCACTGGCGCCTCGCGTATTGCCGATTGTAAATCTATACATGCACAAACGTTACTAAATGTGTCAAAAGAAAAAAAGCTCAATACACACACGCAAAAACGATTTTCGTCTAGAGAATATCAACCAATCAGTGGCGGATCCAGGATTTTCAAAGGGGGGTTCCACTTTGTTTTCGCATTTTCCTAAAACGAACTTTTTTACTGTGCCTCTCCAACTGTAGCAAATGTAGCGTGAATGTATTTAATAAAAATTCATTGTACATGCGTTTTTATTTTATTTCATTTATCATTTATTTAATTTTTTATGCTTGAGGGGGTTTCCTAGGAACCCATGGAACCCCCTGGATACGCCACTGACCAACATATTCATTCAGAATTATTTTTACAATTTCATTTTGTGGACTTTTGTACTGTAGTACTATCGTCAATCGATATGTAATCCCTGAGTGCAGATAAAGCCGTAACGTGATAAACGTCTAATGGAGCTAAATACATTCTATAAATATAGACATTACATCATTCTAGAACGTTCTAAGAAACTCGCAGATTTCTTGCATGAAACTTTGAATAAACGGAGTGTCTAAACGTCAGTCAGCCCGACGGAGTGATAAAAAAAAACAAAGCGTCATGCAATCGATTTTTCAAGCCATTTTTTCACGTAATAGAACAAGAGAAATGGAAAAAAAGTACGACATAATACTGTCCGACTAGATCGTATACACAAGCTAGGCACTTTGAAATTTTTCGATTACCTGACAGAGTGTTCCGAAAGGAAAAACATAACGTCAGTCAGGCAATCGATTGTTTTGAAAAATATTTCTCGAAAAAAGACAATTTCAAGTCATAGAGCAAGAAATTTACCAAGAGGTCGGAAATACAACTGTATATTAACCACGGCCTCTCACTCTGTGATAGTTATTTTTGATTGTCTGACGGAGTGTTACGAAAATCTAAACGTGAGGCAATCGTATTTTTCAATCAGTATTTTGACGAAATATTGAAGACAGAATATGAATTATTATTTCTACTTCTTTGCATCGATTAAGAAAGAAAAACCTAATAATCAAGAGAGCCAAATAACGTCATAGTTTGATTTGTCTTGAGCTTACCTTTTTCACGACTCAACGAACACCATGAATTAGTTGAATATCATGTGTAGCAAGTCTCTAAAAAGTACTGCATCCATCCTAATTAAAAAGAAAGCTCCTCAAGAGCGATCAAATATTTCCATCTTTTGACGTGTTGTCGACTGATGGCGGGCGCTATACTACAGGCCCTCTCGATGTGAATATATATAAGGGAAATTTCCCTTGACCTGGGTTCAGGAATTACGTAGTATCTCGTATTAGCATTTGAACACGTAGCCCATGGCAACCGAAACACACCAAACGTGGGTACATTAAAATTTAAAATCATCCAATAAAAAAATGCACATACTGGGATTCGGATAAATAGCATATCTCGATATTAGAAAATGATTTGTAAGCCAGCTAGCTTATTTTTCAAATCTAAACACTTTGGGAAAATTAAGAGCCAATTAGCTCAAAAATCATCTTTGCATGCCTTTGCATGGCAAATGCTTGCTAAAAATAGCACTCAATTAGACTGGTACAATGCATGGTGCAAAGACATGCAAAAAAATCACCTTCCTCGATACGAGGGTGTGCGCAGTTTCGTCGAAATTTGAGTCCTGTCAAGGAACGTACCACGCAACTCGTCGTAACAAATGCAGCAGTTTTATATTAAAAAGGTAACAATCGATATCCATCCAGTACCCGACCCGCAGGTTCGCAATAGCTGGAGCTACAATAATCTAAAAGCCGCGGTATTTGACGCGACGTCCTACGTGGCTCGCACTTTACGTTAATGCAGACATGTTTTGGTTCTGGTGGAATGAAGTGTCTTCATAAAAATCACCCATTTTCACTCAAATGTGGTGTGCAGTTGTTTAAAAAGACCAAACCAGATAGTAATTAGTAATCTTTTTATATTTAATGAAATTTCGCGCAATTTGTCAATATACAAACGTCTCGTATAAACTACAAGGCGCCTTCCATTTGTCAGAACTGACAGAAAAATCCCATTATTAATCATTCCAGTTCGAATCGATTTCTATATTTCATCCATTACTACAGTGGAAAACTGAAAAAAAATACCGCTAAGTCGCGACAAAATACATGACTCATTATTAAAGTCTGATTTGCACGGTGCGGTTGTCGTGTGCGACATGTAATATACGATAAGTGGTAGGGAAGTTGTAAGCAAGTCGTAAAAGCATTGACAAGGCGCGATTTGGAGCTCATACGAGGCGTACACCACAAGTCGCACGCGGCAATTGTACCATCTAAATCGGCCTTTTAAAATACACGTCTGGATGGCCAGTTCGAAATGGAAAGCGCCCTAAAATTAGAACAGAATCCTTTTTAAAAGGAAAACCATCGATAACAGGAGAAAGTTGGATTTGTACGCGACTATTTGTACCTTCTAGATATCAGTTSGACGTGTCATATAGTGAAAGAGTGGTTGATAAAAAATGATTTCAGGTAATTATAGAATAAAGCCGTCGAACGTATGTGTATACAATAAAAAAAAACTACGATGTTGATGTTTAGGTCCACTACTGTTCTTTCATTATATAGCAAATCCTAGTTGAAAATATGGAATCATACTTTTAGTATATAGTATATTCATTTTATAGTCGAGTCTTAGTACTAACAACGATATTCTATACCTACAAAAAAAGCTTTTTTTCTATTGAATTTCATTCATGGTTTTTAATTTTTCTCTYATAAAGTCTTCCCAACTACATATATGAATCAAAACGATAAATACCTAACAAACACTTAATGAACTTTTGAATAATAATTTAGAAAAAAAATAACTTCCTAAGTTGCTAGGTCGGTAATAGGCGACTTACACATGAAATCACGTGACATCATGGATGGCAAAAGTTCAAACCACAATCACGTTGGGACGGAAAAATCTGCGTAATTTCAACCAATTTATATAATAATTCATAATTCAAGTTTTAGGATTCAGTGTGTATGAACTCTTTTAATCATTTTCTCAAATCTTTGTTTTGTCTACCAACGAAACTCTTTATTTGGAGAACAAAACCTAACTTTCCTTGCCGTGAAATACTAAGAAAAAAGAGTTTCACAGAATGCCATTATGAGATGTAAAAGTGATAATTAAAAAAGAAATTCTTCACGTTTACCATCCAAAATAAGTCAGTTGATTTCAAAGTACAAGCCGCCTATTCAAGTCATGTGATCTATCCTACTGCTGACACCATGTCGGGACCTGATCGCCGCTCGGTTTTCTCTCGTTCTTTCATGCTGAGAAGTTTCTCAAAACAATACAAACACACGCGCACTGGATCATAGAGCTGCTCGTTAGGGACTGGTAGGTTGTGATTTGAACACGTATTACAGAACACAAGACCACAATTCCTGATAACCAAACAGAAGTAAAGCATGGTGAGTTAATAATATATACTGATTTACCGTCCGAACCCAATACTTGTGTGTATTTTTGACGTTTGACAGTAAAAAAGCCCTTTTACCACTACCTAATTAAGATTATTATTCACGACCTGTCAAAACCTCCAGGCCCATGAACTCATCTGATCTCAATAAATTAAAGGCACGGTTACTTTTAAGATGACGCAGTAAGTTGGGAAGGATGTAATGAGAGAGATTTGCTCTGCAATGAAGGATGGTGATACTTCAAAATCTCTCAAGTTTGGTAGGATGTATTTCAATACTAACCGACAGTGATGTTTTCGATTTGCAATCCAGAATTGAGCATGACAATTTGCGCAGTTTGACACGGCATGGTCTGGTACCCAGCGTGTAGGCTCTGCATCACTTTCTTCTACCTCAATCCAACTGGATTCGTCACCACTCCCATGAGACGGGGGCTGTTCACCACTCTGAGTAGAGTCTGGTAATGAGCACTAGTAACGCAAGAAAACAATTAAATGTTGGTTATGGTTTTTATATTTATCTAACATGCAATCTGTTAGGTTTGACGTGGTTACACCAGGCACATGTTGCAGATAAATTATACAAATACAAGCAGAAGAAAAGCCTGGTCTTCGCGGCAAGGCAAGCACAACAGCGGAAACAAGCGCAAACTCAAGACGCYGTCTCAAAACAATCAATAATAAAGCCAATCACAAAATTAAAAAGAAATTTACAATCTCGTTTGTGATCTGTCATGTGAGTTCCTGAAAGGCGTTTATTCCAGTTCTTTTTCATTTTGGACAGCCATAAATAATCGTATGCACTTTTCCTATTATAAATAACTTCAGTTTTCCTTGGTTAACTCATGTTGTTGGGATTTCTTTCTCTACTAAGTCGAGTGACAATGCGTCAATATCCATGAGTGTATGAAWCCTAAAACAGGAGTTGACCACTACTCACCACTTCATCATTTAAATCAGTAGTCCTACCAGCAGAACACATATCGCCATTATAGCCAACAAGACGTCTACGTCTCTCTTCCAACACCTGTGCATGTAAAGTCTCCATTCGTTCCTGATACAACATCTCGATCTGGCGCAGACGGTCTTGAACGTCATTATGCATTAATGTCAATCCATCATTATCGAGATACCGCGCATACATATTCGGTAGCGTTACTTTGGTAGTTAGCTCGGTAGTGTTATTCGGTAGTGTGTTGATATTATCATTTGTTTGTGTTCCTTGGTTGGTAATAGTTTTTTGATTTTCTGTAGTTTGTATACTTATTTCTTTGGTTAAATTCAAGTCCTTCGTGTCTTTCTCTACGTCATTATCACATGGTTTATCTAAATTATTACAATTATCCAGGCTACCGCCAGGGTCTCCTTCATGATTCAGCTCATTCAAACTAGCAGCCAAATGTTCATARGAAGACGAATCTTGGCGACACCGAGAGTTTGAGCCAAATTCTTTTAGAGTTCTTCCGAATGTGATGTTATCTGGTACGCTGTCTTCAGCGTGAGCTTCTTCATCATCACTTCCAGTTTCCTCTTGGATAATTGTGGTAGCACTACTAGTCATGCTAGAAATCATTTCCTGTGGACTGGTGCCGACATTGCTGTCCTTTTCTTCAGCGGTTGCACTATAATATAAACTACTGTTTTGTTCAGAAAGAGTGCGTTTTTCCACAAAAAGGTCAACTTCACCATTACTAGTGGTTGAAAGTCCATTAGTTTGGTCACAAAAAGCCTGCTCCTCGTTGTCTTTTGTGTGGTCCAAAGGYGTGCACTTCTTAATTGTATTCTGACGTAATAGATCACCGTCAGACTTGGAAGAATTCAATTGTRTTGATATGTAAGATTTCATTTCTAAATTTGAATCACTAAAGTTGAATGGAAAACGAAGMGAAGAAGGCGAAGAGCATGAACTATGTGGAGAATCGTCGCGAAGAACAGMWTGTCCTCCATTTTGAGAGAAAGGTACTGGRTAAGCTAGATAAACTGCTGACCAGAGCTCCAGGCTTCGGACATGACACGATGGAATAAGAACCTAGAATATAACACGAAAACATRGGATCAGTTATAAAAATTATCTGCGAATGTTTTCATCATTTGCGAGGTATGTTTGCATACTTTGATAATAAAATAAATCGTTTGTTTTCAGCATAGCATAGCCCAAAGATGTTGGGTTCTTAACGCTGGATAAATCAAAATGTTGCGTGCATTTGCCCTCGCTTGATTATGAAAAGGGTTAATTACCAACTGCTTATTCTACAAAATATAACGGTAACGAAAAAAAAAAAAAAAACAGAAAGAAACAAAAATCAAGTTACAATTATCATCATCTTCACCATTACATCCCGTTGCAACCATCAATACACCCACAACCACCACCTCAATTGAGTTTAGTCAATGACATCCCATTAAATACTTACTTTGACAATACTAGGATTATATAAAAGATTCCTAAATTCCTTTCTCCTGGGATGAAATAATGACCAAACAGAAAACGTYCGAGTCTTGACATTAGCTTGCTGTCGYTCTTGTTCACTGTTACAYAGGAATGTACCAAACAAACACGAGTACGTATGCTGGACCAACTTGCACTAGAATAAAACAATCATGTCTCAAATGAGCCTACAATTAATAGTTACTACGACTAAAATAAGCCATGTGATGACCTTCTAATATGGTATGAAGTAAAAGAAAGCCGATGTACAAATGATGAAAGACCAGAAATGGGATTGCATGAATAAATAGATAAACGAATCGAAGGATGAACTAAAACTATCGTAAGTCGACACTATCGAAAGCGGATAGCTCTAATTATGTGCATCCAAAAGCCCGTTTATTTTTCTTCTTTTTCTTCCACTGTATTCACACTTTCTCGTTGACGGACAGCTTTACTAACGGACACTATTTTCCGTTTTCCAAGGGTGAACGCTTACGGAAGACTCAATTGCAATATGAAGGATAAAGGAAGGGATGGATGGATTGATTGATTAAAATATGAAAATGAATAAATGGATGGATAACAAAATGAATAGGCAACACACAACTCAAAATACTTTCAAACGTTTATAAAACACCCACCAAGAAAGTTTCATTGAATTCAAAGGCACAAGGAAAGTGCCGCTGCAACTGATGAACACAATCCAGCCATTGGAGAAAGACTGGGCACCGCTGATTCTCATCAAAGTCCATTCCATGACCGCATCTATCAGCAAATCTATGACCAAAGTCTAGCCACTCACGGTCGATAAGCACTTTGAATCCCTTAGGTGTGAAATAAATAAGTAAATATAAGCAGAATTAAGAAATAATTCACTTGCGATTAGTGTTTGTATTACCACTTACAATAACATATTTCACTGTTTCCCCGCGAACCATAAGTGGGCTTGCCCTTATGGTAAGTGCAAATGACGGTTCCCTCGTGATTGTAGGTTATGGTAAGTGAGAACACGTGCAWGTATTCACACTTATGATAAGTGTAAACTATCAAATCCACTTATCATAAAATACAGGTCGGATTTATAAAATCAGGTCGGAAATATTTCTGCAAGTGTTTTTAAAAAAARCACAGTAAATGAAACATTGAAATAAGAAGGTAAGATAGAACGGATTTCGTGTGAGTGGGAAACGGACGGTACTGTACTGTGACCGTAATCGTACTGTAACCAAATTCTAGTGCCMCATTGGTTCACCAAAMTTTTGCAGGCCAGATCCGGTAACTGTGCGGTAACCGTGCGGTACCGGTGTCCCACTCATACGAAATCCGCTCTATGGTGCTCAGAAAGGAGAAGGAGATTATACTGTGAGAAAGATTATTGGAAATATCTGTCAATTTGAACCTAAAAGTATGTATCTAAATCGATTCCTATACCTCGATGGTTCTATAGTAGGGATCCAATAGAAGTTCTGCTAAGGCCACTATTTGAGCAGTTCTATCCCAGCCATCACTACAATGGACCACTACTGGTTTGCAGTCTTTATCCACTGCATGGACAACAGTAATGGCTGCCTTGAGGACCATGGAGAGGTACTGAAGCCAGTTCGTCTTCTCAAGTTGTGACCACCAACTAAACAAAGTCGAAAGTTATCTTATTTGGTTATTACTGTTTGTTGCCTTATGATGAGAGGGAATCAATGTGCTAAACACAATAATGGCATGTGTCAATCACAATACAGAACTACAACAGAACTTTTCTTACTTGAATGCATCCTGAGGTCCAGAGCAAAGATTTCTTAGGCTATGAAAACTTTTTCTGATGGCATGAATATTAGCAAGGTTCATAAACTCCACTTCACAATTTGGGTAATATTCTAAAACAACAACAAAATTATAACACATGAACTAATCATAAACCCTAGTAATGCAAAGTTACAAAGAGATATGGGATGTATGGATCTCCATTGTACAAACCTGTACATTCGCATCCACCACCCTTTGCCCTGTTGGCCACAGCCGCMGTGTAAGATCTTGCATCCAGAATAAGGACCCTTTTCCCTGTGGACTCTTTATCCTCAGGCACATGTCCATTGGGYAGCTGGTTACAGTCATTATCCTGGTCAACTTGAGGTGAACTATTTTTTGTACAAGCTGCACCAATTGCYTGGAGTAATCCCTCGTCTTCAGAACTTCTCCAACCAAACCATCCTACTTCCGGTTGGCTGCATCTTGCTATCACAGCGCCATTTTCACGATGTCTGAAAACCCAAATCCACTCATTGACAAATATATTTACTGGTTCGTTTTATTTAAAAGTTATTAGTGTCTCATCTCATTACAAGGGAGTTTGATATTTTCCAGTAAATTATGTCTTTGCTTTTATAATAGAAATGTTGTAGAGTATCAAGAAATACTCAATAATCTCACCTCCAAACAACTGATGGAAATCTCTTGGCACACCGAAAMGCTGCTACATCTTCCAAGTCGCTGTCTGATATAGCTTTAGGAACCACATGGAGCTTGGGGTAGGTGGAACAAATCCTACAGACAGAAAKGTCCACATTTGGTATAATATCCATGTTGTAAATAAACAATTAAGAGCAATGTTCAATTAGAATCTCATAGTTCCTCCTTTATCCACCAGAGAAAAATTCAAACCCATAGGCAATATTCAGTAAAAATGTAATTGTTTTGTCTTTTAGAATGAACTGTAAGTCAGAGATGTCCCATTAGGATAAAAAACTAGTGTGAACTAGCCCTAAAACAGGTACTTCCAAATTATAATAAATCTAGTGAGCTCACCCAAAGTTTGAATTGGCATCAGTTATTCTCCATGATGAGTTTTCTTGGTTGGTGTCAAATCCCAACCGTCTCACTTCATCTAAGAATGAATACTGTGGCAAACCATCTGAAATGACAGATAGCAGGTTCCCTGATTCTATACCACTACAAAATATCCATACCAAACCACAGACATTTTTTTTCTTTTGAATTCATTTAAG